TTCCAATAGCAGCAGAGAAGAGAAGGAGCTTTTAGTCTGAGCTGGAGGGGCGGCGGGAGCATTTAAATGGATATCAAGGTGTGTGTGTGTGTGTGTGTGTGTGTGTGTGTGTGTGTGTGTGTGTGTGTGTGTAGGCTCAAAGAGAACGCTGAGCAGAAATATTGGACCTAACGGGGCAGAAACAGGACTAACATGCTGTTAGATGGACAGGAGGAAGAGGAGGAGGAGGTGATGAAGAGCAGAGCTCAGCTTCAGGGACAATCCTCCAAAAATCCTCAAATGTTTGATTCATGTGTTTCAGTCCGAGTTACTGCTTAGAAACATCCAACCGTCCGTCCGTCTGTCCACCAGGAGGCCTGCAGTGAGTTCACACCAGCAAATCGCTCTGCAGACTAAAACTGGACTTTATTTTCTTCGTTTGTTGCAGTTTCCCTTCACATTGGGTTTTTTCAAACGGACTATGACAAAGCCAGGTGGGTGACAATCTTTGCTCCCATTGGACAGGAATGATGTGGGCGAGTCCAAACACAGAACCATGGAGGAACAAACATGGAGGAACAAACATGGAGGAACAAACATGGAGGAACCAAACATGGAGGAACAAACATGGAGGAACAAACATGGAGGTCCTGCTTGAACACTGAAGGCTCACATGCTGCTCAGCTACGGTGGCCTGTGAAGTCCAGAAAGATGCTGATTTCATGTAGTTGGTTCAGATTGAGGCTCGTCTGTATTCACACCAGAACCGGACCGAGACCAGCTCAGAAATGGTTCTGGATGCGGTACTTTGAGTGGAGAAAAGGTCCAGACTGTGGACCACGGCTGGGCTGTCCTGGTCCTGGAGGGCCGAGTCCTGCAGCTCTTAGACGTCTCCCTGGTCCAACACACCTGGATCCAACAGCTGAATCTCCTCCTCAGTGCAGTCAGGTTCTGCTAACGACCTCATATTTGACTCAGGTGTGTTGAAGTAGAGACACATCTAAAAGTGGCAGGAGGCCTCCAGGCCTGGAGCTGCCCACTGCTGCTCTGGACCAAACGGGTGAACAAACCGTCAAGGATCGAGGTTTTCACTTCAGCTGTTTTCAGACATATTTCATAATAATCAGTTCATCTGTTTATCACTTTCTCTGCCTGACAGGTTAAACTTCTGGACCGAGGTTCTTCTGGACCGAGGTTCTTCTGGACCGAGGTTCTTCTGGACCGAGGTTCTGTGCAGGACGTATCGACTACAGAGAATATTGTGTTGATGGCTATAAACAGCTGAACTGGTTAAATAAAGTAGAACTGAGAGTTTAAACACACCTGGTTCTGATCTCTAATCATTTCTACCTTCGTCTCTAACTGAACTCGCCTTACGGTGTTTGCTGCTGCGCTTATTTGTCTGATTTTATCACCGTCTGTCGCTGCTGCTTTGATCCAGCAGGACGAACATGAAGTCGGTTCTGCAGAACAAAGCGGGTCTGAAAGCAGGCGGCTCGTCTGCAGCCCATCGACCGGCTGCTGCTGAGCAGCAGGGAAAAATAATGTTGAGAAGTTTGTCCTGACAACCTGACAGAGGAGCTTTAATCAGTTTCCCTTAAGGATCAGTGGAGTTTAAGATCTCCTCTTATCTTAATCTGCGCTGTGCAGCAGGTAGAAAATGAGACAAACCGCTTCCGATTGTGTTCATTTACAGCCTGATGGAAACTGACCGCCTGCTGGGACAGACACAGGGGAGGATGAAGCCTCTGCAGCACAGGGAGAAATTCAGCTTTTACCCACAGAATCCATAGAACTCTACCAAAACCCCACTGGTCCATTTAAATACCAATATGAATGAAAACCAGGTTATTGTTCTTGGTGTCGGTTCTGTTTCCTAACCTGGCAGCTAAGCTGCTGATTTGACTGAATCTGTTTAATGTGAGGAAATGAAACCGATGTTTAGGGACATAAAACCGTTTCATTGTCTTTGATCAATGTGTTGCTTTGTGGCGTCTCAGTCTGAATAGAGCATATGTTGGGATACAGACTGTAGAAATCAGCGTCTCATTTCATGTCAGTTTTTATATCTCCAGGATCTGCTGACCATCTGGACTGGAGGCTGGTTCCCTGTTCAGTCCGCTTCAGTCCAATGAGTTCTTTTGTTGATGTGTGAACGCTAATCGGACTCTGGTCCGCCTCCAAGCCTCGGTCTGGGTTCTGTTGAAGTGAACTCTGGTTCGGTTTCAATGCATATGTGAACACCAAGCGGACCAGAGACCTCTCCAAACGCAGGAAGTGGACTACAGCGCAGTGCATTCTGGGTAAATACAACCAAAACAAACAAGCTAGCTTAGCGCTAGCAGGCGTTTTTTTTTTTTTTTTAACCAAAGACTACAGAGAAATCCTACAGCAGCTAAAATCTGACGCCACTTCCTTTTATTTACATTTAGTGAAGAAGGAAGCTGCGCTCAGTGTCTTCACAGGGTTTTGTGTCGTTTCCTTCAGTGGATCTTGGTGCAGCGCCCCCACAGGCCAGGAGGGGAACAGGTTACTGAAAGGGTTTGGTTGGTTTGTGAAAGAGAACCACAGCAGCTGGAAAGTTCTTGTCCCAACTGAACCGAGCCTACTGGACCACCAGACAGGAAAACATCTGTTAGTTGTTGTGCTTTGCAGAAAGTGAAATGATCTGGTTGGAACCCAGATGTCGTTACTGAAACCATTTTATCCTGAAAAGATAGGTCAGGAAGAAACGCTTGTAAGAAATCAAACATTATGTTGAAGTGAATGAAAAAGGCAGAAGAACTCGTCTCCTCCAGTGGTACCTGTGGTTCCTCAGATCATTTTAAAGTCTGGAGCAGAAAGTCAGAAACCAGCAGTCAGGATGTAAGAGCGTCTTCTCCGACCGCCTGCCTCCGTCGCCTCTGCAGGAAGATAAAGTCGAGCGTTTTCCTCCTGACAAAGTGACAGTGGCAGCTTTAATCTGTCCGCTGCTCCGTCTGAAAGGCGATAACTCTCGGAGGCCATCGATCCAGTAAGGATTTGTGACGACCGTCGGTGATTGTCTTTGTCCCGGCCGCGCCTACAGAGACTCTGAAGTGCTGATGAACAGGTTCGGCTCATTAGGAACGCTGATTTGCTTTCAGTCGCTCCACTTTTCACTCCCTGATCTTTTGTTCCTCCTCGAACTTCCTCAGACATTCATTTCATCCGTCGCCCTCATGCTCTTCACGTCGATGACAGAATGGCATCGCTAATTGCTTTTTAAGGATGTTAATTGTTTTCCTCAGATCCCCCTCTGCTCCAGTCTTTAATCCTGTTCTCTTTAACTCTTCTTCCTCTCGCTCTGCCTACATGTCGACCTCTTTGTCCACCGGGGGAATCCTGGTCGCCATGATTGGATGGCAGCCGACAGCAGAGAGCTTCTCCTTCTAATCGTTTCCATCTTCAGTGAGAGGAAAATATGGAAATGAGGCAGATTAGGAAAGAAAAGATTGATTACAACGTGGCTATCAGCTGAGGTTCAGCTGCAGGTCTTCATGCTCAGTTCTGACTTTTGTTTTCTGAAATCTGATTTTTTTGCATGGACGTTCATCCTACTAGTTAAATGCGACACAATCAGACTTCTGCCTGAACGACCCCAAAGCGACGTCACAGAACAATAAACAGAACAGAACGTAGAGCTTTTAATTCCCTCGTGAAACAACGGCTAAAACTAAAACATCTCAGCTGCTGTGGTCGATGTATACTAACGTACTTGTGGAGAATTAGTTTTCCTTGATATGCATCTTCATGCTCTTCATATTTATAGTTGCAGAAATTCAGAGTTTTTGTGAGGAAATCCTGAATTTAAATGTTTGTAATAAAGATCCAACCAAAGACAAACATCAGATGCTCCGTTTTTAACATATAATGTGTGATGAAATAAATTTGCGTTCTGGACGCAGCCGCCTGTGGATGGATTTTAAAGTTATTCGGAGCCGACAGCATCGCCACCAGATCAGAACCAGACGAAGGAAGCTGAAAAGAGAAAACATTAAAAGTATCGGCCCTCAGTGGAGCGTCGACTGGATGTGTTGGGACTGAGATGTGATGCGTTTCAACAGCTCCCACTACGTTTCCATAATTCTGAATTTCAGAAATAGATTTGCTCAAAGGAAATACGGCAAGCTTTTAAAAGTCACATTTTTCAATAAAAAGTTCCAGGTGGTTTTTCAGCCGTATCAAAATTTGTGTATTTCGCAAACTGCAATGGAAACTCTTTTTTTCGCATCATGCCAGTTTGGATCTCTGATTTCCAGACACAAAACATTCAGGATGTGTTTCCTCCTGATGGTCCGGTAGGCTCGGTTCTACTGGAACCAGAACTTCACCATCTGCTCCACCTCCAGCTGCTGCGGTTCTTCCTTTCTGCTCAGAGTCAAAACAACCAAACCCTCTGAGCAACCTGTTCCCCTCCTGGCCTGTGGGGGCGCTGCACCAGGCACCGGGCAGGAAACGGCTTTAACAGAGAGCGAGGCGTGGAGCTGAGGTTTGGGCGGGGGGGTACTCACTGTTACTTACTTGAACGGCTTCTCTCCGGTGTGCGTCCGGATGTGGTTGTTGAGGGTGGTGGCGCCGGCGAAGGCGCGGCCGCAGTATCCGCACTTAAAGGGCCGGTCGCTGGAGTGCGTCACCACGTGGTTCCTCAGCTCCGACGGCTGCGAGAAGGACTGGGAGCAGTGGCCACACTGGTACGGCCTGGAGGGGCGAGGAGACACTTTAATCATTTTAAAACAAGCAGCAGTCATGAAGGTTTTCACAAACTAAACAGAACCGATTACAGAACCAGAACCTTCCTGGAATCAATCTGGGCTTCTTTGGTCTCTGAGGTTTTTCAATGTTTTGCTTAAATTCTTCTGTTTTTTTTCTCTAATTTCTCATCTAATGCTTGTTTCTGGAAGCAAGTAATTCAATGTTTTCCTAAGAAAAACAAGGAAAACTTTGATCTGTTTGATAATTTTCTTTATTTCACAAGAAGTAAAAATGGTGAACTTCAAATAAATTTCCAACTATAGGCCATTTTCATGCTTCATATTTTCAATGGTTCACTGTTTTCTTATTGTATTTTATGAATGAATCATTTGTAAAGATTCTGTAACGTTCATTTTCATTTCAACGTATTGATTACACTGCAAAAATCAAACAGAAGAAGAAGAACGAAAGCAAACCAGGAAGTGATGTAAAAACTACGTAACGAGGACAGAAAAGACAAAAGAACGAAGACATAACGACACTGAGAAACAAAGATGGCCTCCACCCACACGGGGCAGGGGAAGTCGGACTCCGTTCCGGTTACCATGGCAACGTGACCCTCATCCACCCGGCAGGCCCGGATCCTGACCAGACCATTTATCACAGAGTGAGGAGCCACAGATAGAGACGGAACCACAGCAGAACAAGAGATAGCTTCAGAAATGTCTGGGTGTGTGTGTGTGTGTGTGTGTGTATGCGTGTGTGTAGGTGTGTGTGTGTATGTGTGTGTGTGTAGGTGTGTGTGTGTGTGTGTGTGTGTGTGTGTGTGTGTGTGTAGGTGTGTGTGTGTGTGTGTGTGTGTATATGCGTGTGTGTGTGTGTGCCGCACAAATGGG